GCAACTTGAGGAAGGCATTTGAGGAAGCTGAGAAGAATGCCCCATCTATTATCTTTATTGATGAGATAGACTCCATTGCTCCAAAAAGGGAAAAGACACACGGTGAAGTGGAGAGGCGTATAGTATCCCAACTCCTGACCTTGATGGATGGCCTCAAGGCACGAGCTCATGTGATTGTCATGGGGGCTACAAACAGGCCCAACAGTATTGACCCTGCTCTGAGGAGATTTGGTAGATTTGATCGAGAGATTGACATTGGTGTACCAGATGAAGTGGGGAGATTGGAAGTTCTTCGGATCCATACAAAAAATATGAAACTTGCTGAAGATGTAAGATTCGATCTACTGCTTTCACATTTACTTCTGCACTACTATCGATACTTGAACCAATATGATCGTTTTTTTTATTGATACTGCTTTACAGGTTGATCTTGAAAGAGTTTCGAAAGATACGCATGGTTATGTTGGTGCAGATCTTGCTGCTCTTTGCACAGAAGGTGCTCTTCAATGCATCAGGGAGAAAATGGATGTGATTGATTTAGAGGATGAGACAATTGATGCTGAAATATTGAATTCCATGGCTGTGACTAATGAGCACTTCCAAACTGCATTGGGGGCTTCGAATCCGTCAGCCTTGCGTGAAACAGTAAGGCTTTATGATCATCTGTGTCTGATTTTAATTTGAAAATATATGTTTTGAGTGCCATTTGTTTTTAGGGAAATTAGTCTGGTAGAATATATGGAATATATATTTAGTAACTGTCTAAGATTGACAATATAATAATAACACTTCCAAAACAAGGGATTGTCCAAAATAATAGTTTTTGATATTTAGGATCAATAATACAAAAGGACAAACAGATAGATTATAATATAATTAGTAGCGGTACCAGGCCCCTACTTCCCAAAGGGAGGTAAGGGGTTCGAACCTCAGTGGAGGCATGTGTGTGTGAGTACCAACTAGGAAAAAAACAAAACAAAATGGGGACATGCTACTGTTGTTTTAAGTGATAAAAGAATATCAAATAAATTTAAAGGACAATTTTATAGGACAAGTATTGGGTCGGCTATCTTATATGGAGCAGAGCTGTTGAGCTTTTAAAAAAGAAATAAGAATAAAGCGTTCATGTAGCTGAAATGAGTGCACCTATTAGTGATAGAATAAGAGAAAGTAGAGTTGGATGATATGGATTGATACAATGAATGCCTATAAATGCACCAGTAAGAAGAGTAAGAATAACTCTCATACAAGATGAGAGATAGAGAGATCAAGTGAAACTAACACAATATTATCCACACAAATTTTTTATTTTTTTTATTATTTTTATTTTTTTGGGTATGCTCCCCTTTTGAGCCACCTTTCATTGAAATTTTATTCATTAATTTTTTTATTACAAATTATGTTTTTAAAAAAATTAAATAAATGGCTTATTATAGAAAAGAGTGAAAAAAGATAATTGATGCGTCCAATCCATTCATATGAGATATAGGCAAGGATGATGAGGATGAGTTTGGCAGAACATATATATTTTTCTGAGCAAGACTCGTTTGCACGCAATGACAGTTTCTTTTCTTTGAGATGTTAAGTTTTCCTTTGCATAAATGGATTATATAGTTCTTATGAAATTGAGAATTGGTTATTGGCTACTAGGAGTTGTTTCAAATGTTTCCTTGCTGATGTTGGATAGTCGCATGAATATAACAAACATGGCTTATCTTGGTTGCAGGTTGTGGAGGTTCCTAATGTCAACTGGGAGGATATTGGTGGATTGGAAAATGTTAAGAGAGAGCTTCAAGAGGTATAGTTTAAATTTTTTTTATACCATGAACTATTTTTTTTCCCCTGAATTATACTACTGAATATATTATTTTGTAAATTCTCAGTTTTCATTTACTTGTCTTTCTCTCTCTCAACTTTAGTTGACTAGATTTTCATTTGTGGTTTTGTTAACTATTTTGCCCATGATGTATGTGATAACATGACAAATTTGTGACTGCCGGCAGACTGTCCAATATCCGGTCGAGCATCCAGAGAAGTTTGAAAAATTTGGCATGTCACCTTCTAAAGGAGTTCTCTTTTATGGACCTCCTGGCTGTGGCAAAACTCTCCTTGCCAAAGCAATTGCTAATGAATGTCAAGCCAACTTCATAAGTGTCAAAGGACCTGAGTTGCTGACAATGTGGTTCGGAGAAAGTGAGGCCAACGTTCGAGAGATATTTGACAAGGCACGTCAGTCGGCTCCATGTGTACTTTTCTTTGATGAGCTTGATTCCATTGCCACTCAGGTACCAAATTCTAAGCCTTTCTCGATAAGTTAATCTTTTGGTTACATGAACCGCATCAGAGGTTGTATGCTCAATTGCTCATTGACTGATATAGAGCTGTGATTTTTCACTTAATTCTTGTTGCATCACATTGATTTACTTCAAATTATTAATCTCAATCCTGCTCAACCCTGTCCCAATCTCAGCGCGGCAACTCGAGAGGAGATGGAGGGGGTGCTGCAGATAGAGTTTTAAACCAACTATTGACAGAAATGGACGGGATGAATGCGAAGAAAACAGTTTTCATCATAGGGGCAACAAATAGGCCAGATATTATTGATTCGGCATTGCTGAGGCCTGGACGTCTTGATCAGTTGATTTACATCCCACTACCGGATGAACCTTCCCGTCTTCAGATCTTCAAAGCATGTTTGCGCAAATCTCCAATCTCCAAGGATGTTGACCTGTCAGCTCTTGCACGGTACACACATGGATTTAGTGGTGCAGATATAACTGAAATTTCTCAGCGTGCCTGCAAATATGCCATCAGAGAAGATATTGAGAAGGTAAAACAAATTTTCTTTAACTTGATGTACCTTAGTTGCATTAGCTTGCATATGTCAAAATATATTTATTATTTTGAAGCAATAAAATTAGAGGTAATGAATATAGCCGGTCTAATAACACAATTCGCAAGCTGTTGGCATGACATCTACAAGGGGGAGGTGGGGTTAGCCAGTCAGTCAAGGTTCAAATTTTGTCGCCTTCAATTAAGAATTGGCAGATAGGAATGTGAAGAGACAGGCCCTCAGTTGATTGGTCAAGGTCGTTTATGTTAGTCATGCCCTCCTTTTTCTTTATTTATTAAATTTCAAAATGTCAACATAGAAGTTTGTAACTGACCCACAGCACAAAGCCAGTTGCTTTGTGCACAGGAAGTCAACAGCATTCGAGAGAATGGATATCTTCCAGGTTCATGATTATTTGTGAAATTGTGATTTAATCCCTATTTGAAAACTCGCCCACTTTGTCCCTATGGGGAACCCTTCACCTTCTAAAGATGCACTGCCCGCGTTACAGGGGCGACCTTTGCATAAATTTTTTTTTCTCCATATCTGCATTTGAGTTTTAGGAACAATACTTTGTTTTTTCTGCCCCCACTTTTTGGTTTTGCCCCTTTTATATATACTGATGTTAACACCTTGGGGATGGCAGGATATTGAACGACAGAGAAAGAAGATGGAGAACCCTGAAGCAATGGAAGAAGATGATATCGATGATGTCCCGGAGATTAGGGCAGCTCACTTTGAGGAGTCGATGAAATATGCCCGACGAAGTGTCAGTGATGCGGACATCAGGAAGTACCAACGTTTTGCTCAAACTTTACAGCAATCTCGTGGCATTGGATCTGAGTTTCGGTTCTCAGATCATGCTGCAAGGACAGTTGGAACTGCAGACCCCTTTGCTTCTGCGCCTGGTGCTGACGATGATGAAGACCTGTACAACTGAACTGAAGCCAACGCAATCTAGAGCTTTAGCAGTAGATGTGTAGCAGCAACTTCTTTGACAGTAGGGAGCGATATCATAAGTTTGTAATACTGAGGTAGAGAGGTCTCGTCAAGATGGTATTTTGACCAATCAAATTTTGCAATAGTTACTTTTAATGGATAAATCTCAACACATGGTTCAATTCTACTAGAATATTTCTGTGGTAGGAGTGGGATGTTTCTTTCATCAATTTTCAGTTTGTAGGTCATCTGTTAAATGGGACTTGTTTCTTTTTTATTTGCATTGGCATTGGTAGTCCTTTGTTTTAAGTTTTAACCATGCAATGATTAGTTGGGTCACAATCTAGATCCTTTGAGATAATGTCATTTGCATTATTTATGGTCACTTGGTGATGAGTTTGGCTCTCTATTGAGAAAAACTTAAATGCTTCTGGTGATAGCATAACATTGGCACGCAATGATAGGACCTATCAAAATAGATGCATATTCTTATTTATGTGGCCGTGTTTAATTAGTATGTGTTATTATGTTAATTAGTAGTGTTATTATATCATCACTATGCCATGAGCATTCAAGTTTTTCTCCTAGTGCGAGACATGGGACTTTTTCACACGTAAAAGGCTTTTTTTCATTCATTGGTCTCTAGGGTAGAATGAACCAAGGACACTCGTAATACTAGTTTTATTATTTGTGGTGTATATATATGGGGCATATTTTGGGCCCAATTATGAAATAGATATTTAGGGTGCCCATGCACTGTGCTAATTACAGTTGTCCATAATGGGCACGTGCCGGCGCGTGTTGTGCACGTACGATTTTGATTAGCCTAGTACACGACTGACTAGGCACACCGAATTTTTACTCTCAATTATGAAAATTTTAAATTAGACATTAAATTAGATGGCAGTTTAGGAAATTAAGATAAGAGTAAAGGCCGTTTTGTCTTTGTCATCTCAAATCAGATTGATCACATACATTAACTTGCTTATTTAGCCGTGATAGGACTCATCGAACAAAATACACTTTTTCTTATATGACAAAGATATAATTGGTTGATGACATAAATGATATATAATTGGTTGATGACATAAATGATATGGTATTACCCGTACAAAATCTTTCTCCTCACAAAGAAAAATCAACATAAAACTATGTTTAATAAGCATGAAATCAATGCAAAGTGACAGTCTTAACTCAAATTTGATCATATGAAGATGATGTGGAACTCTACATTATCAATGGTTAAATTTGTTAAAATGAAAAGGCAAGAGGGGATGTTTTGCTAATTATGGTCTCTTTATTGTCAAGTGGTTGCAGCAATCTGCTAGGACTAGTACTAGATTATTCTGGTCACAAGTGGATATTAATTTGTAATTAAACATATAAATAATAATTATATATATATGTATATATTATATACACATGACTACACTACAACTATATAGAACAAACATTGTGAATTACAGGTTGATGTAATCTTCTGCAGACCAAAGCACGAGTCTGCCTCCAAAGCTTTTGTGCTTCAGATTCATCATTTGCTAGGGCTGAGCAGTGACTTTCATTACAGTCTGCAAAGTACTTCCCACTCATTCCTTCTATTTCTGGGCTTAGACCCACATAGCATGTGGTTGATGCACCCTGAGAACACAACACAAATTTAATTTCATGCATGCATCAAACAAAAGTACATTCAGAGTAGAGTAGAGTACTCTGTCTCTCTCTGTGTTACATTACATGAGAAATATATATATATATATATATATATATATATATATATATATGTTCTTTAGTAATAGAATGAAACAAACAAGCATGTGTGGACAAACCTGTGATGTTGATTTCAGCAACTTGGATGCAATGAAAAACAGAGAATCTGAAATATATAACAGTCGCTTTAGTTTTCTTTTATTGGTTAATGAACCATACTATGACTTTTGTCCCTTATAAATATAGATCTCAATTAAACCATACTCGTATTTAATGTTATGTTTGAAAGTACCGAATTGACTGCTTGAATTAAAAATTAGAAAAAATTTAGTTAAAACGTTAAACTAAATTTTTTTTGATTTCAAATCCAAGTTGTCCGTGCTTCCAAACATAACATAAGAATAGATAAGCCTTCCAAGTTCCGATAATGTTGTAGGCCTAACAGCCCTAACTTATCGGCTAAAATATCAATTTTCCTGATTAATTTGTCTAAAAAAATGTGAAATTCATCAAAAGCAGAGGAAATAGAGTTTATATATATATATAATATATATACATGCCTGTGATAAGGCCTTTGTGATCTCTGATAATACCAGTCTTCACAACTCCAGGGTGCACTGCATTGATAATTACTCTTGCATTTCTTGCCTGCAGTTAGAATATTCCAATAATTAAACACTTCTCATTCACTCACTATTAATTAATATATTATTTCTAATTTCATCATATGTCAAAATTTGGTGGCCTACTTGGTTCTGTTTTTCATCAGAGTCCTCTGAAAGTTAAAAACAGTTGGAAATTTTATTTGGTTGACAAATTTCCATTCAAAAAAAAAAAAAAACCCTTATTTCATGGGACAACAATTATTAATAATTTGTATAATTTTGAATATTCTTAAAATGAAACCAAATTAAGTCCTAATATACTTTTTTTATTTTATTATGTACGTGTGTGTATATATATATATATATATATTATAATAAATGACTAAATATGAACTTGGATTGAAAAGAAGAAATTAAAAGGGGAATGCTCTCTACCTTGAGCTGTCTTGCCAGTTCCTTGACATGCAATATGTTAGCCAATTTTGATTGTGCATATGCGTGAGTGCCATTATAACTGCATTAATCAGTAGATGAGATAGTAATTAGTAACTGTTTTAATTTGCTTTAAGAGATTATCTAAGACTCTGCACACACAAACACACACACACACACACACACACATATATATATATGAAGAATGTATGGAAATGTGTTATGAGAAGTGAAAGAATGATATGTTTACTTCTTTGGGTTGAGCATTTGGTTGAAACAGAAACCATCTCTTTTCACCCAGCTGTGGATTACAGAAGAAACATTGATTATTCTTCCTTCAATGCCGGTTTTCGCCGCGGTCTCCACCATTTTCTCCAACAGCATTTCTGTTAGTAGAAAAGGACCTAACAAACAGATAGAAGAAAACACAAAACAAAATTAAATTAACATCATGATTAACTATTCATGCTAAACTGTGTGCATCTGACTACTTCCAATGACTTATGACTATGGACACGACCTAAACTCATTGGATTCATCAACAGAGTAACACTTTTTAATTAGGTCACAGCCCAGTCCATAGATCATTGGTGCAGCCCAAAATTTAAGGAGGGTTCCGTCTAATTAATTTGACTATTTGAACCACATGAATGAACCTTTAATTAGGTGGGGCCTCTTGAATCATTTAATCTAATGAGTGCAAAATTGGGAATTTACCTAAGTAATTAGTAGCAAAAGTCATCTCAATTTTTTCCTCAGAGAACTCCATCTTTTGTGAGAATTTCCCAGCATTGTTTCTGCACAGTCATTTTGTATCCATCAGAAAAAACTCCAAAACACACACACACACAAACACAAACACACAATACACACACTCACATGAGGATATTAAGGGGCAGTCCTAGAGATAAGAAGTCAGAACAAAATCTCTTGATAGAAGCAAATGAGCTTAGATCAATCTCCAGCAACAAAATCTGAGCCTGTGGACTCTCCTTCTGTATAGCCTCCTTTACCTGAGCAGCCTTCTTTAGGTCCCTCGCCGGAATTACGATCCTCACACCTCTCTTTGCTAGTACTCTTGCTGTTTCAGCCCCAATCCCTGACGTCGCGCCTTGTAACATACAAAATTTAAAATTAATTTAAAATTTTAGAAAGCAAAATTAATACCATGCATTGTCTGATCTTTATATAACATACCATAATATAACATGTATCATGTGTTGTTTGAAAGTTAAATATGTATCATATAGATATTAAATACCCTGATGAAGCTTTGAGTATTAATTAAGATGACATACATAATTAATTATAAGTACTTACTACTGTCCATAAAGCAATAATCTAGTGTGTGTGTGTATATATGAACCAATGAGAGATAACTATTCAAAAGAGACAAAACTGTATCTTGCTAAAATCAAAAGGTGCCACTAACAAAAATACAATATATTGATATATATATATATATATATATTTATTTACTGATTGGAGGAGAATAATAGTACATATACATCATATATGTGTGTGGTCTGCAGTACTTTATCATCAACAAGTACTCTATCTTCAGAGAAGATCTATACTCTGGATTTTTCAAAACCTTATTGGCTGGCTAGCTTAACCATCAAGCTGCAAAAAGTATTCCAAATTTGAAGACAAGTTCATCAAAATATATGTGTGTGTGTGTGTATATATATATATATATATATATATAAAGGAAAAATAAAAAAGGTGACCAAAGTAAAGGAGAGATGGCAAAGTACCAACCCTGTTCTTATATTTGTTGAAGAAAAATAGAGATCAAGAAAAAATTAAGCAACTCTCATATGTTGAACACTTTCAACACATGCATATGTGTATGTGTGTGTGTGTATATATTGCTTCAGCAATATAAAACAAATGATGGATTGAGATGTCATATATATAGGGAAAACTATCTAAAAATAAAAAGGAAAAGATAGGGAAAAAAAAAGTATTAACAATATTCTTCCATGAATTGTCAAAGCCAAAAAAAGAAAAAGAAATTGTTAATTATATATCTGAAATTCAAAATATATTACCATGCTTTGTTCAAGACATATACATATATATATACATGCATCACCCTGACACACCATTAAACTTCCAAAATCATTGCCTAATATATCCACCACCCATTATCATTAAAGCATTCTAAGAAGCAGAAAGAATATATGTACAAAATTAAACTTTTTTTTGGGTACAATTAACCTTATACATATATATATATGTATATATATATATATATATATATATATATATATATATAACTTTTTATATAGGGATGGAAGGGGAAAAAAATAATGTAGTATAATGCATTAACATGATGGTTTATATATTTTGTGATGATCTGAGACTAACCAGTGACAATTGCAGTAAGATTTTGAGAAGAGATTAAGCAAGAACAATCTTCAGCAACTTGCTCAGCTGTTGTTCTTGATCCATAACCACTTGGGCCTGCAAGACCTGCTAGGTATCTCAGTGTTTCCTTCATGTGGCCAGATACAATTTTTTTAGAGCAACCACACGCAACTGCATTGAAAAATATGGTACAAAAACACACACCCACATACATATATATATATATATATATATATATATGAGGCATGTGTATATAATAGCTTTTTTTAATATAGTCCATTGACCAAGCTAAGGATTGGAGGAGGCAACCAATCATATCACTGACTTTTTCAACAGTGTCTGACTTTTTCAGAAGCTTCAGTTTCACCTAAGGGAAGTGATTGGTTGAGACCACCAACCTTAGGTGTTCCTTTCACTAGCTGATTAATTCTTGTGGAGAAAAATAAAAAATAAAAAATAAAAATAAAAAGAAAAGGAAAAAAAGAAAAAAGAAGCTAGCCCACTAATTAGTGTTGTTCTTGTCTTCTTGTTTTGTGCTTATAATTGCTGTCTGCCCTTATTAAGGTGTCTGTAGAAATTGTTATTTCCGGCCATGTTTTGTCTAATTTCAAGTGAATTAATAAGTTCCATTTGCTTGTAGAGACAAGTGTAAAGAAGACATTTCACAGAAATAGTGAAAAGTAAATGAATGCAAATAGCAGTTTGACTGTTGATTTCTCTTTTCTCACTCTTCTTTCGATTTGGTTGGTTGGGTCTCACATGGCCACAAATTAAATGGCTACCTGGAAACTTTGTCACCAAGTGTATCATCTCATGAGAACTGAGAAGTGTGCATCTATTTAATTCCAATTAAATAGATAAAATGTTTTCCCTCTTTACCTTTGTTTTTTTTTTTTTTCGTTTTTTGGTGTAGCATTTGCCTAAATGATCGTGAATAGATAATAGCTAGGTTCTAAAAAGTGTCAAATATTTAATTTTGAAATAAACAATGATCTGAATGTGAAAAAAATTAATTAAAGTGTTCTTCCAGAACTGAATAAATAAATAATTAATTAATTAAATGTGAAATAACTAAATTACTCCTTTTTTTTATATATATGGTAACCGGTATAGGGTTACAGGCAAAAAATACCGTTATGGTATGCATATAGACTCTATATTATAGAGTATATAACTCCCTGTAGGTTTTAAATCTCCTAAACATTTAATTTTAGTGCAAACAAAGACCTGAATGCTGAAAAGACTAAATTATCTCTCTACAACCGAATAAAAAATAGATTAAAAAAAAAACTAATTAAATATGACAAATGTATATATATATGGACAATATCAGAAGAAATAACCGTATTTTTAAAATTTTATATCTTAAAAATATTAATGCATACTTTTTAACGAAACAATGACATCAAACCCTTCTTTATCACATTTTTTCAAACTTAATGAACTTAAATACTCAAAAGAAAGGGATGTGATTGTTATTTGCCCAAAATATAAACATTAGAAGTGTTTTTCTCACTTTGTCCTAGTAAGGGCATTTATGGAAAGAAATAAGAGTATTTTTGAAATTTTATATCTTACCAGTGACTTCAAACCATTTTTTACTCATTTTTTTAACTTAACGGACTTATATACATAACAAAAGCCCTTATTTGCTCATTTTTTTTAATTTAATGGAGTTATATATCAAAAATAAACTATAGGAGTATTATTTGTTCAAAATTAAAACATAAAGAATATTTTTCTCACTTTACCCTAAACAAAATCATGATCTCATATGTGTTGAAATTGTTTTGATAAAGTAAGACTATTTTAGTATCAAAAAAAAAAAAAAAAAAAGAGGAAAGAAAAGAAATAATTATACTAGTCACGAAAAAAAAAAAATAAATAAATAAAAATAATAATAAATAAATAAATGATAATATAGTCTGAATCACTTGTCATATCTGGTTGACTAAAGAAAAAAAAAAAATAGTAATCATGTTAGGAAAAAAAAATTAAAACTATTTTAATAAATTTATCATCATACCTTTTTTATTGTCTTTTATAAAAATAAGTATAAATTTGATATTAACAAATTTATAAAAAATGCTAGCATTTCCTTCCCTCTATTTCCATTTCCTCCTTTTTTTGGAACATTAAATAAACCAACTCATCAAGTTTTAATGTATCGCTTCAAATCCTTCCATTCCCTTTCTTTTTCTTCCAAAATTTTATGTCAAACATAAATAAATAAAAAACTAAAAAAAAAAAATTGTAATAATGTTCCGTCTATCATAATTCTAATAGGATAATGTTCCGTGTCTTTAATGTCTTCTTATCTTTCTTTATTTATTTCTTCTCATTTTAGTTAACTATTTTTTTTTTAATTACTCCGTATTATTATTTCTTCTTACAAGTTGGACCCGTTTGGAATTGCATTTTCAACCTCAAAATCGCGTTGAATTTACAAAATAACGTTTAGTGGGTTTGGTGAAGAAAAAAATGCGCGTGTATAGAGTAGGTTTAAAAAAAAATAGTTCGTTTTAATGAAGTTGAAAATTGGAGTTGCTGAAATTGTCTAACTTTTGTTGGATAATCTAATTCCTCTTTAATTCTTATAATTATAAGTTAATTTAGATTTTAAAAAAAAGTTTAGCTAAACAATGTGTTTAGTTATTCTATCACCCATCGCTATGCTTCGACAACTGTTATTACCATAGTTCTACAAGTATATATGTCTCTCTCTAACAATTAATCCCCTTAGATATTGTGTGAGCTTGATCCTGAAGTTATTGAATTTATATAATATTATTTATATTGTAAAGCATTATTTGGTTAAATTTCATTAGTAAATATTATGTGTAAATATGCGTATTTTATTACTACAAAAAATTCATATCAAAGAGAAATTAATGTTTTAATTATTTATATTTGAGTAATGCATATATTTATTATTGTATGAATAATATAGTAAAATTAGTTATAAACGTATTTTAAACAATATTTTTATCAAATAAATTTAAAAGTGTTTCAATTATAAAAAGTATTATATAATACATTACCAAACTTGTAACATATATTTTTATGGACAACACTTTTATAACAGTTCTATTAACTTTTCATTCCGAAAGATGAGATACACTTGGTTTCTTTAATTGAATAAAATGTGATTTTCTTAAGAATACTCCAAAAATTAGGAGCCTTTTAAATTTTCATAAACCGGGTCCCTTAATCAATATTTTCAATTATGGCACTTCAATGATATTAAATTCAAAGTCAAATTTATAAATCAAGTGTCAAACCCTTTATAATCATGTAAAAATTGGGTTGGTGCTCATTGGTACCGTTTACTGTTGGTGGGATTATAATTGACAAATGAAGATAAATGGAATCATTAAAAATAATTATTATCAGTCTGTCAATTTGGATTTTTACCCCCTCCCCAAATAGTGTGAATTTTTTTTACAAATAGAGGTGTCAAAATTTGGTGCCCAGGATGAGGTTGTGGAGTCTTAATCACAAATTCAGTTTATGTTGATGCTTCGTGAAATTTAGACAGAAATTTTTTGTTTGGAGATTGTCTTTTATACCCTTGAATGCCCTTTTTGTATTTGAATCCCCTTATTTTTCCATGTTAAATGTGGCAGATATTGTAAATTTGAGGGAATGAAATGAAATACCTTGAGATTATGTTGGCGGCATGGAATTGGAATTGGAATTAGAATTAGGAATGGAATTAGTAGAATTGGAGAAAAATTTGGTCCAATTTTCTCCTTATTATATATATATATATATATATATATATATATATATATATATTCCTATAATAGGTATATATTTTTTTTGAAAATGTTTAAAAGTGTTCCCCCTCAAATTTCTCATTTCCTTGTATACTCTATATGTTTCCTTAAATTTTTTTTCTTAAATTGTTTCATTATATTCTATATATGTAATTTATTAATTTACCTCATTCCAAAAATATCAATCTCTATCTATATTTATCCACATATTTCTTTTTATGTATATATACTACATAAATATTAATTTATATGTATTTAGTGTACAATGTGCCACCCTGAATAAAAATTTTGGCTCCGTCCCTGTCACCAAACATAGCCTGATGGTTTGTTCGACGGTATGAAATTGGAACTTTAGAATTAGAATTGGTAAAAGTTGAAAAAAATAAAATTGATTCAATTTTTTCAATTGTTTTATTTAAATTTTAAGACTCTTATTTTATACGACAGAACACCCTGAATACAAGAAGAGAACATATTTCATTAACAAGATCAAAGTACAAAAGAAATATTGATGTAGTACAACTTATGCCAAAATAGGAATGCAATGTAAAATAATAAGTAAGCCAATAAACTGAAGTATGTTGTGGAGTTGAGAGTGTAGAGACAGGGTCTTTGAATTTCCAAGTGCGCCTTTTGCATTTTCCATAAATGACAGTTATTTCATCGTAATAATTCCACTTTAGAAAGTTTCTCCATCAACCATGTGTCACCCATGATGCATATATCTCGTAATCATTTTTACAACTGCTTATCAATCAATCTCAGTGGGTAACAACAACGACGAATTTATTTTTTTTCTTTATCCCCTATTATAAAAGAGTAATTATAGAATAATCGAAAAAGAATCACCGAATTAATATTAAATTTTACGTGATTGGTCATTCGTATTAAATAATTATTTTTAAAAACTGTTTAAGTAGATAGGTGAAAAAAAAAACGATTCAATACTTATTCAAGGTTAATTCATCGATATCCCTATCATTATTCATTATAAAAGGAAGAGAAAAAAGAATGATTGAGACATTCGTAGAAAAAAGATTAAATTGTTTCTCTATTTTTATTCGATTGGTTGAAGAGAATGAAAAAAATTGACAATTTAATTTAATCGGTAAAATAAAAGAAAAGATAAATTTTTAAATTATTTTTACCATTAAATCTATCAATACTTTATTTTTCTTCCGACGGAACATAGCATTAGCATATGATATAAGTGACCTGAATTAATCACATTTCTTCTTCTTGATTGGCGCCATGTCATTGAACAATTCTACCTCAACAACCAATATCTCCTCTCCACGTGTTGCTTTCTCGCTGGCCCACGTCGGCATCCACGTGACATATATGCCAATCTTATGCCCAAACACTCTTAGAAAAGTGTTTTAGATTCATGTTTTGCATCATGTACCACACAAAAACA